TAGAAATCAATTATGGACGGCGCGGAATTCTTGGTAAATGATTATTCCAAGCTAAAATACTTTACATAATAATAATATTACTCATAATTTTAAACTTTATGGTATTACCAGTAACATTTTTATTAGCCGACCACTGTCACGATTATTGCCTCATTTATACATTAACCTTTATAATATCTAATAGTAAGACAGATCAAATAAAAATAATGAAAATTAATACAATAAAAAAGACAAAATACACTGGCAAAAATTGTTCACATGCAACTAATCCTCTTCATATATAAAAACGTCAAACGTTATGAAGAAATCTATTTTAGCTATTGAAATGTTTTTTTTTTTTCCTTTGCACTAATTTCTCAATTACAAACACTGTTCTAATAGTTAATTTTTTTAGCTTGTTTTAGTTTTTATGAATAAAGGGGTAAGTATCTAAGATTAAAATCTTAAGCAAAAGTTCATAACAATGCTTTTTACAACTTGATATCACAAACAGTCTGATGACGCCTCTAATGAAAAGTGGTAACCGTAAAAATACTTTAAAAACATACTGTAATAATTTTTCTATTTCAAGCATATTAACCAAAATGCTTAGAAAAAAATAATAATTCATAGTTTGTAGGTAATTATTAAATTAATTACACTAGTAACTAACGTAAGTACTGTTTAAATTATTAGTCTAACTTAATTTGATAACATATGATCATTATTACTCGTGGCATGAATTATCATGATATTAATAAGTAGAAACAAACGTGATGTTTCGTTTAAGGTATTTTCAATAGGGGTTATAGGTCCCATCGCTAGCAACAAAGTCCAACAGATCGACCTCCACAGGATCCTTGAAACTATATATATCATTATCATCCCTTACTGATACACTGCCAGCGTATATCATTAGCGAAAATGGCGTTGCTTTTTCATTAATTCATTAAAAATAATACATATATAATATTTACCGTAACACAATCCTTCATGGAGTTGCACTTGTTGATATCCGGTGGATACAGTTATAGAATTTATGTCGTACATATCCTCATTTTGTTACCTAGATTCAATAGTAATATAGAAATGTGATAATAATCATTTGTTTCCGCTAAAATGTTACACTTTATTCCATAAATGATAAGGAGAGTAAATAGGACATTTTTCTACACAAGCATTAGTTATAGTGTCTCTTCTGGTGCCTGGATTGCACCAGCAATCGCAATAGTGTCTTCGGTACGTATGTGAACTTGGTAAACCGCAAATCTCTTCGAAGGTACAGTTTGGTCCGGGATTGTATTCTCCGGATGGGCATTCTCCTAAAAAAGAAAATAGCATGTGAATAATTTTCCATACTTGAGTTTACTGTATCAAATGTCTATCTTTATTTTTAATGAACGAGAGTCATACTTAAGTATACTGTGTCAAATGTCGACCTTTATTTTTTGTTATATGAATGAAAGGGGAATATAAACGCCTTGCTTGATCGGATGATACTACCAAGTGATAGGAGTGAATGAAATTAAGTCATTTAGTCAATCGTAACAAATTCACTAGGAATCACATGGCATACAATTCATGTCATATTATTATAAGAGAGTAATAGAATACAAAATTCTATCCGGGAGAAAGAATTGTCAGTAGGTAATGGAGTGTGACTTTATTACTAGTAATATACCCTGCCAGGTCGATCTTTACGTGGTCCTCCTTGGAAACTATCGTAGTTAATTCCTAGTAAATTAATCATGATGAATCAACTGACCTGAATTCATTCCCACATATCATCCTCACCACTACCCTGTTATTAAAACCGACAGCACAAATGGATTTACCATTTAATTTTCACACCATTATTATAAACAAACATATAATGATACTTAAAACAAGATACAGAAAACTCAATTTCAAGTACATTAAGATTACAATTAAATGTAAATACACAAAAACTTTTCTAAATAATGACTAGTTTTTATTTATTTCGTGGTACTCACCCATACAGTGCGTCACATTAACAATAAGCAAAACAAGAATCCAGACGTTCATCTTCCTTGATCGCTCTACAACTTGTTACAGTGTTATCATCAACGCGATGCCGTTTATATGGTAACCTTCACCTCGCTCATTTATCGCTGGCTAGTTTATGACCCAGATGCTGCTTGCACGGACTGTATTTTTGTCCTTATTTATTATCTTTATATCTACATGCAACATTACTGGAATAGGTAGTGAGTTTTGTATTTATATGTGGGATTAGTATAATTTCCAAGACAGTCCATTTATATCTATGAGTTATTTTTTCTTAGAATTTTTTAATTGATCAAAAGGCTACATTTATATTACCATTCCTAAGGACAAGTGTAATAAGTCTACGTATGTAGATACCTCAGTAAATTACGGCATGATACAATACTCCGTACGTATTTAGTATTGATATTAGAAATTACTAAATTGATAACACACGCATCTTAATTACTTTTTAAACCATTTATAATAAGAATTTTATTGTTTTACATTATTTAAAAATTTAATCATCGTTTGATGATTTCAGTCAAGAGAGCCGGATTTGAGTTTATTTAATTACCAATATTTATTTCGTTACTTTTATTTCACAATTGATAATGTACTCATAGACATCCGTACATAAACATTCGTTAGAAATTAACTACGATAATTTAGAAGGAAGACCACGCGGAGGTCGACCAAGTAAAATATATTGCTATCAATTGTCCCATCACTTTTCCCGTATGCGTATATGACGATCGCATTAGACTGCTTGAATTTGGCGAGAGAATCGAAGAATGAATACTTACTTGCGCTTATAATTTTAAATAATTTTCAAAATTTACGCGAACTATTAATAAAGATTAGCGAGAATTATTATTACTTTTTTTTGGAGCAGGCGTAACAATAAATGTAGATATAGATACCGGAGAAGACCTAGACTCATCTATTATGGTCATAAAGACTGTGTCCTATCTGAGGAAGGAGGGAAGAATCTCTGAAACTTGCGCATTGTACCTTAAGCAACTTTTAAGTTGTTCGTAAGGATAAAAGTGTGACTTTTTGTTTCCTCTACTTCTCCCACATGGAACTTCGCGTAAAAATAATATATTTAAATTTCCTTGCCAAACTACAATCAAATAGATAAGTATACAACATAATTACTGTAACTATGAACAGCTGCTACACCAGGAATGTCTCAAGTCACGTTCCAAACTTTGAAGAAAACAATAACTGTTTTCTTCCTAACGTCCTCTAACTAAATTGTCTGGAAAAGATTACATAGCAATAAATCACCTTTTATACCACGTCTCCGAAATTGTTTACTTCATTTATCCTCATTTTTGTAGCTGGTGGAATACAGTACAAATAAATAAACATCAGGGGGTAAGTTTTGAAACACGCGTTATGTATACGTAACGCGTGATTATAAACTTCCCATCCCGTATTTTTTTTAATGAATGGTAATGGAATAGTAACCCCGCCTGCGCTATCAATATACACTGGCGGGGCATCAGTGAGGGATGATAGGTGGGGATGAAACAGGTCAGTTAACCCATTGTGACAAATTTAACAATAAATTATCACGAAATAATCACGATGGTTTTCAGGGGGAACCGCGTGCAGTTCGACCTGATAGGGTATATTACTAGCAATGGGGTTATTAAGCTCAATCACTAACAATCTCTTCTCACCCCCCCCCCCCCTCCTGTTGTTGTTGTTGTCACCGACCCTGCCGGTGCTCCGCCATTGTTACATTAAATAGCTTCAGTAGCAACCTTTAAATTAGCACTCCTTCCATAGTTTTTGAAACGCAAACAGCCCTTAGGAACAAGTAGCTACTTGAGAAGTTCGAGTTTGATAGTGTTCGAATGAATAGAGAAAACGATTTATTGTTTTGCTTGGTATATGTAGTAAAAAATTTTATCATCTTTTTCTGGATCCCATGGCTAAATCGTTACAGGAAGCTTATTTTACATCAATATTTAAGATTGGACGCTCCTCTAATATTGCACTGCATATAATAATCTAGGTCCTGAATTGAAAGGACGAGTTCCATGGAGAGCTAAGATAAAACGTGACCGTCATGTCAATTTGTTGTTACGAATGACAGAACACACAAAGGGAGACAGTCTGATGTAAGGGTCCAATACCAGTTTTGAATTTGGAATTGTTAAAAATTATCATAGCTTATTGGAAAACTATTTTTTTTTTATAGAAATGACATTTTATTATATAACTCGAAATAGTGATATTTTACTAGTGACTCACCTAATAAACAGTAATAATCGATCATGGATATCACAAAAAATTTGCCGTGTGGTCTCGGCATAGAATGGGCCACCCCTTCCTTTCCCGTGAGTGTCGTCAGGGGCGACTAAGGGAACTTAATGATCGCGAGATAGGCAGCAGCGTCCCTCTTAAAACATCACAGGGTACAGGGTAATAACACCTGACTCCTCAGGAATGGCGCATGGGAAAAACAGTATATTCTGTTATATCTATGATTCTGCTCATATCTATAGGCGACGGTTACCACTTTCCATCAGGTAGGCTGTCAGCTTATTTGCCATTCTAAATTACATAAAAAATCACCAAAAGCCTAACTGCAGTAGTCAACCGGCCTCCTAAGCGTAGCAACTACAGACAACCCTCCCCTTATGGGGAAGGCGTATATTTAGCAGATAGTGATAATGATAATCACATAAAATACTGTGATATTCCTAGTAGTTTTATGTTTAGCCATTTTTATCTCTGTATTATGAATCTGTAATTATTGTAAAAATCCTTTGTAATTACACTATATATCTTACCTGCAAACCGAAAAAACTACTATGCGACATAAACGCGAACTGGACAGAGGTACTCAAGAATACTACTTTTGTATAGTATTCCGTTGACAAAAAATATGAGTGAAAGCAGGAGTAAAGGGTTTTCTAAACTCTATTAATACCTAAGCTTAAAACAATGTCTAAGTAAGAGGATTTCATGATGGTGATATAATAAAACTACAAATATTTGCTTAACCTAGACAATATTTATTAAAATTAGCACAACCATTATCAAAACATTTCTAAGCAGCGCTAAAATGTAGTATATGTACATATCACTGCCATATTTGGTAATAACTTATAGCTTATATCACACACTCATTTCATTTTCTGTCGTAGTTGGCTCCATGGATCTTGTAACATGGAAGGGTGGAGGTAAGCATCAATATTGGATCGGCTATCTTGTCCATAACTGCTGTTACTCCCACTCTGGAAAAATAATACTGTCATTAAACTACACATTTAGAAAATAATAGAGCAGCACTTAGTATGCGCAGTATATCTCAAACATTGGCAGGCCATCATTCTCTTGCTTTTTTAGTTATTCCAAGTCTTCATAGGCTATTATAACTGCTTATTATCAAACAAACAGTATGCTTGTTCACCATTTCAATGGTATTTTTTTAATGGATGATAATGTAATTGTTGTATACTAATGTGGGTAGATCTTAGATGTATACTAAGGTGGGTAGAAAAGTTAGTCTGTAGATGTCATCCTGGCCAGAGTGATTGACTGTTACAAGAATACATATTTTAGTGAATATATAATAGAGGCAACGAGAAAAATAGCGGAAATGTGATATAAACTGATTATTGACTAAATTAAACATATAAATAAAAACAATAGACATAAAATTTAATGAGTTGGACATTTCACATGAGTATTGGCAATTACATTGAAAGGTTTTCTTTTTGCCAAGAAGCTAGTGAAATTTAAGAAGATTTGAAGAAAATGGTAAATCAAAAATAAATTTAGATCGTACTTTAAGAGACAGATCAATGTGTGGTATACTAGATAAAGATATTAGAAAGAAATTATTAAAACAAAGACAATTATCATTTTAAGAGATTTGTGACATCATATTATCACAGGAAACTGCAAATATTATTATACCATGTAGTCCAAATACTCCAATATAGGATACAATTGTACCAATGAATATTAATATGGTACAACTAGGTAATTAGAAGGAATCTACTCAGAGTACTTATGACAAAAAATCAAAGTGTTTCCGCTGTGGTAAGTCACTCAGAGAAGAAAGCAGTAATAATAATAAATGTCTTCTGTCTTACAAATCTTACAAAACTATCAAGGAATTGAGTGCAAATGACAAAAGTGAAAAAAATTAAATATGCTCATTGGAATTGGGTCAATCAGTATATGTAGGTATGATGAAGGACGTCATTGGTTACAAGGAACAGTGGAGAAGAAAATAGGGGTATGCAGATACTTAGTGCGGTGGAATGGAAGATTGTTATTGAGACACACCAACCAGATGCATAGCAGGGGGATGGTGAACAGTAGAGATCATATACCAAAACATACAATAGAATTAGATACCACAACATATGATAGTGATGATGAGAGTCACGTGGTTATACCATCTCTACAATAATGGGCTGACATCATTGGAGTATCAGGGCCACTAGATACCATGATAAAAAAAGAACTCAGGAGAAATGATGAGGACAAAACAATCCTTGTACATATCACCACAAACAGAATCATCTAATAAAATAAAATCTAGAGTAATAGAATATGAGATGAACGATGAAAAGTCTGATACAGATGATTCAGATCAATCATCATAAGTCATTTACAATATAAGTAATAAATAGTTGTACAATCACACACAGACAAAAAGTAGTGAAATGAACTTTATTAAGCAAGTTAATATTAGTAAAAGTGCTATTGTAGTTAAATAGTGTGATTATTATTAGAAAGACTTGGAAGGAAGGTATGTTGTGTACCAAAGTGAGCAGATCATAAAAAAGTTAATCTGTAGATGTCATCCTGGCCAGAGTGATTGAGTGCTACAAGAATGCATATTTTAGTGAGTATAATAATAATAATGGTAACCCTAGTTGCGCTAACAGTATAAGCTGGCAGGTCAGCCATCTCAATGGTAGCACAAATAATATAATATTTTATATATACATATATATCCAAGGGTTTATTTAATAGATGATAATGGAATATTATGCCCCGCCTATGCTAACGGTATACTCTGGCAGGGTACCAGTGAGAAATAATAACTAAGAATGAAATCTCTCTACCCAAGGGGGGTTGATATCAGGCAGGCAACTAGTCATAAGAACAAAATCCAGAACCTTGTGTAATATGAATAAGACCATTTTACACCAACCCCATTATTATTAATTTTTTTTTGTTGCATGAAAACGGATTGGTAATTCTGCCTGCGCTAAAGGGATATGCTGACGGAGCACCAGTGAAGGGTAATTGATGAGAATTAAAACAAGCCAGTTAGCCTATCATGATGAATTCATCAGAAATTAATCATGATAGTTTCCAGGGGGAACTGCATGAAGGTCGACCTGGTTAGGCATATTGCTAGCAATGGGATTTTTAGTCTCCATTACTAACAATCCCTTTCCCCCCATCGACCTCATTATTGGGATAAGAGCAGGAAAATTACGACATCATATCATCATCATCATCATCTTCCTGCCCTAATCCCAATTATTATTTGTGGTCGGCATAATATGGTTTTATCTATATTACTAAAGGATTTGGCTTATAGTTTTACGACCAGCCCCCAGCCTGATGTCAACCCTCTTTGGGAATATATATAAAATATATAATTTATATATAAATATATAATAGTATACAAGAATATCTTTAGACAAAATTCAATGGTAAATAGACAATAGGCAATTAAAAATACTAGCTTTTACCCACAACTCCATCCATGTGACCAGGACATCTTCATTGACCAGGACAAAAATAGCCTACATCCTTCTTCGTCCCATATAGTATGTGTATACCAAATTTCATAATGACTGGTTAAGCTGTTAAGGCACCATGAGGTGAAACACCACCACAAACAAACAAGTTCTCTTTCACATTTATAATATTAATAAGGATAACATTCACCATTTGTGTCTAGATCCAGTACAATAATGATGGGGGAATCAAGCACCCATTGCAGTATAATAAAAGTCCCAATATGAATCTATGATATGATTCTGTATACATTTATGTTATTTTTTATACAATTTAGAATTACAAACAAACTAGTGACCTAATGAAAAGTGACAACTGTCACCAATATGTGAATACACAGAAAATCAGTCATTCCATTATCATCCATTAAAAAAAAACTAAGTACATTGATTGATAAAATACCACGATACATACCTCATAACTGTTATTCCTTTGAGAACCATTGCTCCATCTGTTATTGTAACCACCGCGTCTTTGACCATTGTGATGTCGATTGTTTTGATATCTTTGATTGTGATTTTGGGCTGACCACTTTCCATGGACGGGAGTACTTTGAGACAGTGGAATAAAATTGTCCGACATTTCTAACAAAGTTTTTTTGTGTTTCCCACAAATTTTGCTGCATATGCAGTAAAATGCACCAAGTTTTTTAATGAACGTCCAACACCACAATGAACAAAAATATTAAAAAACACTAATGCTTTAGCTTCAATTATTAAAAGCCAAATAAAACCAAAAACCAACAAATTTTTAGTCAAACACTATCAATTCTTACATTAATTTAAATTGTTTATCAATAAATATAAACAAATACCAAGTAAACAAAACTCAAATATTAGCAAGAAATGAAGTAACTTGTAAAGTATTCACAGATTAGAGAAACTATGTAGCAATTACTTTGAATTACTTTCTCTGTGAACTGGCTGTCATTCATTTTCATCAGTAGTTTGGGTTGCCAGATGCAACTTTTTTTTAACAATATCTCAGATAACTTTTCTCCTAATCGAAACAATTTCTTTTAGATTTGCCCAACCTTAAATTCATATGTTTTACTATGAATAACATAGCATATAAAAATCACACCGCACTTCTGTATGTTTCTACTTTTAGGTTCCTTGTCTTATGCCATTATGCCATATTTAGTTTTGTTACCTTTATTAATATATTTCATGTACCGTATACTTTTTACAACTACTAAAATTGCCGAAAAAACTTACCCAAAATTCTTCAAACTCATATCTGTTTCGCCAAGAATTTCATCTCTAAAATATCTTTAACAGAAATTTGTACCCTAAATTGGCGAAAAAATATTTAATTTGGCAACATTGAGTATTATTATTGTCATCCGCCACTACGGGCGGCGGTAGTCACTTACCATCAGGTGAGCCGCATGCTCGTTTGCCCCCTGTGTTGTAAAAAAAAAAAAAACAGATAAAGTAATTGTCGCTGTCACTGTCATGTCACTGTGTTATTTGTGTTAAGGAGCGACACTGAACTAAAACTAGAAAATAAATCTATACAACCGTCTTGAAATGTTAACATACGATTATACTTTTACAATAATTTATTTATTTTAGTTTCGAAATTATTTCCAACTTGTTTGTAACTGCCACGTCCATTTCTCATAAATTGCCATAATAGAAATGACGTACATCATAAATCATTAGAAATGAGTTTAATCTGGGATTTTGGATTTATGATTAAAAAAAAGTAACATAGAATCACTATTGAGACTACTTCATATTTTTATCTTTATAGAATAGTTGATTTATAGATTAAAGTTATTAGTCTTAAACTTGTAATTCTAATCACAGATGAGTCGATCCCAGTACGTACTAGGAAATTATGGAACCAAACAGACTAGAATAAAATTTTAGTAGGAATATATTTATTTCTCCATAACATTTGATTTTTATTACTGTGCTCATATTAACCAATATTTAAATAGACTGAACTCTATTATATATTACTTGTGCTATTATAATACCCATTTTTATATACATATATCAATATTTTTTAAGAAAAGGCATAATATAAATATTGTTGTATGACGTTACAATTTTTAAATGGTTGCATAGACTAATATTCCAATTTTATCAATATGTTCGTAGTGCCATATTTTATATAACTTCATTATTAGTAATCTAAGTTTCTATTTTTATCCATTATATTTATCTTTAAATATATTGGGTTTTAATTAAATATCACAGATTAGAGAGATTAAGATTAAATATGTTGGAATAGAGTTTCAATAAAATGTCGGTTTAAAAATTTTCTTCTTTGTCTATTACCTTTAAACAGATGTTGGCAATCTTTATCCATTGCTATCCTGGCCCTCCTAGTGAGTTTGTGAGATAGAATGAGATAGAAACGCCGAATGTCTCGTTTCAACTCACAGACTTGCTAGTAATGTCGAGTCAATCTACGAATTCGCTTGTTCCTTGTCTAGAGGCTGTGAAAAAGGATATAATGCACATTCCTAACCACTTTAAAATTTTTTCAAAATTTTTCAAGATATCCGTCGTTTTCCCGGTCTTCGACAACTTTTCTTTCCTGTATTATAAGCTGCAGAAAAATATATTTTCTTCCGTACTATATATTCCAGATATAGCAAATTAACGGCGTTTTATAACATTTAATATGACGAAAATTACTATAATTGAAATGTATAAAGTTGTATAAAGATGCAAAAAAAACATTGTTTGCAGTACAGTGTAATTACGTATCATTGCTAGAATAATTTTTGTGAATATTATATATTTGTCAGATTGGAAATAAAATATACTATGATTGTTTCGAGTGAACTTTAATATTTTAATAGATAAATTACTTCTTTTAGTGACACTGTATATCGATTTAGCAATTTTTAATCTTACTTATTATTTTTAATTTACGATAATTTCATCCAAAATATAGAATTAATTAATATATTTTTGACATAAAGTATAATTTAGTAGTTTTTAGCCTAACAACTGCAGCACCGATTTAAATATGGTCACACTGTATCTGTCTGACTGTCAACAATCTGGTGTAGCCGATATAATTATCTACACTTTTTGTTCTTAATTTTTTCATATAAAACATCTTGAATTGCAATGGTTCCATAAAATTATATAAATAAATAAGTGGAAGCCGAAAATTCCACAACTCAATCATGTGGATTGCATTAAAATCTCCGAAACTCGCTGTCGGTAAGTAACATAGTTTAATTAATAACGCGACATCCTGCCTGAGTATTTTAGCGGAAATTGTAGAACATGTCAAGAATATTAAGCGAATAATGATTTCTTTACTTATAGTAAATGTAGTTAGTATTGACAAAATCGCAGATTCTAATAATAAGTTATATCTACTCTATAATTTCTTTCTTTTCGCATAATATAAACATGTAGCTATTTGCGTATTTACAGGCGTTTAAAAATTATATACTTCAAAGTATTATCTGTTTTATTAAACATGACTAATTTTTCTGTTGGAATGTCATAGTTTGTAAACATTGATACATAAATAATGAAATTTATTATATTAATCTGGTCTAGTGGTAGTAATGCAAATACTTTAACATATTTAAATTTGTTTCATTTAAAAATAAATCTATACCACCTATTCAAGTAGTTAATGTAACAAAGAAAATTAGATTAACATAGTAGATAACATATATGTGACAATCTAGATTTTTAAAATTTGTGTTAGCACTTACCTGCTATTAATTTCTTTATAACATAAAAGATTATTATTATTAACAATAATCATTTTCCTGACATACCTATTATATTTTATATTACATATTGAGTCATTTTTATAATTATAAATCATAATCAAATTAAAAAAAAATAATAAGTAATTTCAAATATATTTAGAATAAATTAGAGTAAAAGAAGATCACTTATTAATTATTACATAATCTACCACTTGAAATTTAGGGCTCTTGTCCTTGCCTAATGTTTCATTTGCCTAACAAGTAAAAAAAAAGTATACATGCCTTATATTAAAAAAAAAAATTAAGATATATATAAATTGCTAAAATAGTATAAAAACATAAAAGTAATTAATTTCTTTGTTTTTATGGGTATGTTTACTAAAACATAATATTTTGATCTTGACAATACAGGAGCAACTAAATGCACTATCTATTTTGTTACATCTATAGTGCTTTATTTCTATAGTTAATAGTTACCTTTCTACATCAAGTCAGCTTATTCACCATTCTAAGTTGTATAAAAAATATATTTTACAGAAACCATAAATTTTTATAGCTTGTATCTATTAATACCTCTGTCTACTCTATGATTACAGTTCTCAAAATCATTATTTTTAAATGTGACATTGAAATTTATGCCACTATTACTATGTGTTTTATTTTTCTGTTTATTATTATTAAAACTTATATAAGAATTTAGGAAAATAGAACCAAGGTAATCCATGGTACTTCTCATGTCTATAGGCGACACTTACCACTTTCCATCAGGTGGGCCGTCAGCTTGTTTGCCATTCTAAGTTGTATAAAAAAAGTTTTGTTAATAAATTTGCATGATTTTAAATCAAACTTTGCACATCATTGGTTTAAGCAATATTCTTGACCTATAGAAGTAATGATTTCTATAGAAGTAAACATAATATTTGTTATGATATTTAGTCTGATAACTATTAATTGTTGTTTGACATGATACCATTGTTTGCCAATCCACCATCAAATATTCTAACTAACTAGTTTAATAACTATTACAATAATTCTGGTTAAGCTTCTTAATACATAATAAATTGTTATTACTAGGAGCTGTAATGGCCACTTTGCAAATTCATGGAATAACTTATTTCATACCAGCTTACCCCGCATACATATTATGCCTTCTACCACTGTCAACTGGGTCTATTTTTTATGAGGATAATCTATTATAAATTTAAGCCTTTAATTGGAATAAGTCATATTTCACAAGTTGAAGCAAAAAAGATACATTTAAAAAATTTTGTTAAAATTGTTTTGATATATTTTTTTTTAAATTGGCTAAATATCTTTAAAGATTTATAATGAGATATTATAATGTTATAATAGATTATGTAAACAAACTCTTACAAAATATCCAAATATCTTTTCAAACAACTTTCACTTATTAATTTTTGCATCTTATAATATGCTAATTTATATACCTGCTTTGTTGTTATTTCGTAACGTTATATTTAAATATATTATTGACAATCACTATGGTCTGTTGGTAGATACATTGCTTTGTATAAATCAGATTTCAGGATTGATTCTAGGTTGGGCCAATTTAGGAAACAATCTCTTCTAAATTGTCTTATTTGGATGTTTTGGACTGAGCATCCAGTGTGTGATATGGTGTGGTTGCATTATATGTATTGTTGTAAATTATTTAAGTAATGCAATATTTAATACAATAAGCGTAATACATTTCATAACAGAAGTGGTAAAAAGAGAAACATTCTGTATATCTAATTCTTTTCATTATGCAGTTCCTAAATATGTCAACCAACTTCAAAAAGAAGGAGGTTCTTAATTGAGTTGTATTTTTTTCTTATGTTACTTCATAACTCTTTCAGTTCTAAACCGATATGGATTCTTTTTTTTTTCTGAAAGGATATACTCACAGATTGGTCCCATAGATATTTTATCATAACCGATTCAGTAATTTTTAAATCATAATATCACTTATTTTGATTTAAAAAGTACTGAACTTTTTTCACAATTGAAGTGCATTTTTTTTGTGGGACATATTTAATTCTATTTTTGGTAACAGATTTTTAAATTGTTGGACATACAAAAATTTTTTCATCACTAAACAATATTTTCAATCAAGTTACTTATTTGCTAATCTTTGTAATGTAAAAAATTAATACAAATAAATATGAATATTTAAATCAGAAGTGTTCTTATTTATTCTCACATAATCCAGGTGGGTCGTCAGCTTGTTTGCCTTTCTAAATTGTATAAAAACATGTATAATATCCCAATTAACTAATTTTAAATTAACTATTACCATCTTCTGGTTAATATGGTAGCAGACTGCGGCAGTAGGATTCTTAAGAACGCGGACTAATGGCTCCATTGCTAACAGTACACCTTGTTGGAAACCCTGTTAGTTGCAACCATCAGAGTTGAACTGCTGTCATCCTTACCTATCATTCCTCACTTGTACCTAACTAATGCAGACCGATAGCGCAGGCGGGGATGCCATTTCATTATCATCCATATTAAAAGCATTTTATGAGTGGTGATATATTTAATTTTTATTTTATCACTACATAAAGGGTGGGTGAAAAATTAATTAATTAATGGGTGAAAAATGGAATGGTAACCCCGCCCACGCTATTGGTATACACCGACGAGGCACCTGTAGATAATTATAGGTGAAAATGAATGCAGGTCAGTTGGCCCACCATGATGACTTCGACAAGAATTAACCATGATGGTTTCCAATAGCTAGCAATAGGGCTATTAAACCGCTTTACTACATTTCCTTACCCGCCATTACATATAGGGTCATAACAATTGATTTAAATTAAACAATTTGTAATTACAGGTGTTTACAATTGGAAAGGAGATGTTCGGTCTGGATTACCCATTGAAATAGGAGAAACAGTGCAGATATTTGAAGAAAATGGAGGTAATTTTATATGAACTTCTTTACTAAATATAAATATACCTAAAGTATTAATTAATATAAAAAATAAGACGTGTAATAAATTGATATGTGTGTTTTAGACATATTAATGTATGATACATTGTCACGGTTGCGAAAATGTATGTTGAATCAGAAGGCACTTATAGATAGAATATGATCTATTTAATCACTGATCGATTATTCTGTCTCCTCCTGTAACTGCATCCTTGAATTTCGCATTGAAAATACATATATATTATGACGTTCTTATCCCTTTCATATTGACACTTTAGTTTAATTTGCTTTAGCACATACAGCGAGTCTGCCCTGTTAATCTGTAAGATGAGGAACAATTCTCAGCGTGCTTTTTGTCTATCAAAATACAAGGCCTAATTACATTGAATCTCATATGAATCCAGGAAAAGTTACCAACTGATTCAAAGTGATGGACGTCTAGTTTGAATGAACCATTTTTAATAATATATAAGATTAAGTGCTTAAAAAATATTTATAAATTACGAGCATGTCAAGTGTTATTTTTACCACAACGGTAGTGGTCGAGAGATGACTCTGATTAGCCCATCCACTATGACATCTATAGTTTTCTTTGTACTTCTCAAAGGTTGACTGTAAGAGACCTCTCTGTGGGATAAATCTGCAATTGTATGTTACATCTTCTTAATATCTAATGTAGTATGTATAATAAAGATTTTATAATACATCTTTAATATATTAATAAAGTATTTTTAAAAATTGTTAAAAAAGAAATTAAAAATTATTTTTAAGGTCCTGATAAATAATCCATCAATGAATATAAATGTCTAAAACTTTCCAGCCTGGTACCGAGGGTTTAGTACAAAGAACAGATCAGCTTGGGGTATCTTCCCTGCTTGTGTGGTCTCTATCCGGCCATGTACCATTAAAGGCTTCGGAACCGCAGCTATTTGCGAGCTCAAAGAGGATCCTCTTGTTCAGGAAATAGCATGTGTCTTGCGGGAATGGGCACGTCTGTGGAAAAAGCTCTATGTGGTGGGTATAAACTTGACTTGTGATTTTTAAATAAGTCCTAAGTATTTTACGTTATCGCGATGTTAATTGTAATCAGATTTTGACGTTTCTTTTTGCAATCGACAGAGTATCTATTTGTAAACACACAATTTTGCGTTCTAAATTCGAATGTTTAAAATTCAATGTGGCTATCACGTCTCATTTCTTGATTCATTTGTGCTTTTTTTTGTGAAACCGAATTTGTAACTACAAAAGAAATGTTGCAGTACAAAAATGGTACAAGCAGAACTTACAAACGGTCTTGAATTACTACATTTTCTTGAGAATGTTTTAAATATAAGTATAAAATGAATGGAAATAATAGATATTAACTAATTGTCTCGATTTCCTTTGAAATACTCCTGATTTCGTCAAAAGATTTCTTCTCGAACGGACTACAATTAAAGATTATACTTTATATATGGCCCCTCAAAATGTCCGGTAAGTGGCCGAATAGGTTCAAATGATAGGTCTATTATGTCTATACAATGTATGTGTTCTAGAGACGTATTCCATTGTTTACGATCATTACACTGTGTAGCAGATTATACACAAAAGACTATTTTGAAGCGATTTTTTTTTTAATGTTTGAAAATACAAATTAGATAATTGAACTCTGTTGACGACTAGAAGTACCTAATATTAGTTTTCGACGTTTTACATAGTTCTTTCTATTTGCATTTCAAATAAATATGAATCATATTTCAGTAGGTATCAACTGTGTTTTATTATATGTTACACGATATATTCTCAGAACTGAACTGATTCTGTATCTGTTTTCTGTAATTGTTAATAGGTACAAATTTCGTCAGTATTGCAGTAATTTCTCTTGACTTTAACAACAATTTTTAATACCACTTTATTAACCACAAATTGATATCGAAATATTAATTTACGTTTGCACTTTATAAGTTTTCTCTTGTTGGGAGCTGTTTAAAATTTTTTTTTATTATCATAATCATTTTACCTACTAAATTACTAAACAGACACCTTCAGAGGAATATAAGGAATGGTTTTAAGTTACCTGCATGTACTAGTTCTCTACAACACATTTGAGGTTGTCTCTCCATCTAGCTGGGACCTTTTTTTACTCCATTTGTGTGTACGAGGTCGTAACTCGAGAACATATCGTTCTATTGATCGATTGGTGGTAGTGCCTCATTTCGAATTCTGGCTCTTGCTGAATAACTTGAATCTTCCTCATACCAATATAGACAATATAACTATTAATCATTAGAGACAAAGAGGTTGTTAGTAATGAGTTTTAACAACCCTATTGCCTAGCAATGTATCCCATCCGGTCAACCCTCACGCAGTTCCCCTTGGAAATCATCGTGGCTAATTCTCAGTCAACTACAGTAGTCTAACTGACCTGCTTTTATACTCAATTATCATCTCTCATTGATGCCCCTTCAGCGTAAACCGATAGTTTAGGCCAGGGGTCGGCAAACTGCGGCTCGCGAACCATATGCAGCTCTTTGGATGTGAAGTTGCAGCACTTTAGTTTAAAAAAAAAAACAAAAAAAAATTAAAATCATTCTGAAACGATTAACGAAACAACGAATAACACAATTTCAAAGTTTTTAAAGAGCCACAATTTTTGTTTACCAACAATAAATAGTATTTGCATAAATAACGCTAAATAATTGGCTCTTTAAAAACTTTTAAATTTTGTAAATTTCTTTTGACTCTTCAGACTCAAAAAGTTGTCGGTCACCCTGGTGTACGCGGAGAGTGAGGAGTCATTACTATTAATAGAGGCTCACTTTTTTTAGTATATTATAGAAATTTTTACGAGTCCTATTTAAATAAACTGTTAAGATAACAGTGTTTGAACAATGGTAGACAAAAATGTCTGAATCTTTATGGGCTTCAGATAATGTATTATCTAAACTAGATGTAGTCCGCAGCTTCTTTTTTACCAAAATTTTATCAATTTGGAATTTAAATTAGATAAAATTTGTTAAGTGTTACTTTGGAAAATGTAATAACAGTTTCTGGATTTTGATCCTATATTAATAGATCATGAATTACAAATTTTTATTCGAGATTTCGTACCGCGAGGCTGCGATAAAAAGTAGCCTATGTTGTTCTCTATCCTATAATACGCACACACCAAAGTTAATGATAATTGTTTGAACTGTTGGTGCTAAGACAAACATATTTTCATTTCACACATATATAGTCATAAGTATATAATAATAATATAAATACCTATAGAATTTTATATATATATATATATATATATATATATATATATATATATATATATATATATATATATATATATATATATATATATATATCGGTTGGAGGTAGTTGTGCAAACATTGTTAAAAAACAGCTCCAATTTAATTTTCGTTTTAAACTAATATAAAATTATAATTAATTATAATTAAATAGACTTTCTTAAAAATTATAATTTAATGAAATTATCTAAACTATAATCATTCATTTGCCGGAATAAATCACACTTTTACTTCTACTACAACAACAAAAATGTCTGTGGAAAAGTTGAGCTTACAGGAAACTAGAGACGAATTTGCCAGGGTATTGCGCGTGCGTTGCTGATCCTGCAGAAACCTCTTTACTCCCTTTTTGAAAAACTCTATGCTGTAGTCTCTTGAAAAAACTTCGGCAGGGAACTCATTCCATAATCTGAGTGTTCGTGGGTGAACATCCCAAAAACCGTGTTGTACGCGACCATTTAGGCTGTAGGATATGAGGGTCAACTCCACGTCGATGGCGAGCCTTTCGATGGTACAAAGTGGTTGTGGGCATCATATTGAACAATTGGTACAAGCGGTAGAACCCACAGAGTGAGTCAAAATCTTTCCTAAGCTAAGATACTGCTTGTAAGCCTGGGATCTTCGACAATTCTCGTAGCTCGGAGTATAAATATAAATTGATAGTAATATAAGCATGTAAGCTACAATGTGTGTAGGTATGTGCTTATCAAATACTTATGACTAACAAACAATCATTTTCATATATTTTCACAATAACATTATAATATGATTAATTAGTGTTGGTATATACCTAATACTACTGTTGTCTCAGATAATGATAAGGGTATTAGGTATCAAATAAAATTTATCTGTATTTAAATACTTTGACAAATGTGTGTGTTGAGTATTTGTGTTGTATGATTTTAGTTAGTCAAGGTGTCAAGGCATTAAATGTGAAAAAAATATATTTATTCTGTATTTCATAAACAATATTATTTAAATTAATAATAAATTAAGTATAATTTTAATAACTCAATACTCTAGTGAAAGTCGTAAGGTTTGTTAGTGTGGTGTAGCGTATTTAGTGTTAAAAATATTCATGTTTATTGATAAAAAAATATCAATTGTGTAAATAGAAATGGAGAAAAAAAATTTGGCAGTAAGCAAGTTTTAGTATTAATTTCTTAAGGACTGTATTTAGTGGTTTTAATCGCACGAATTAACCCTTTGCATTCGAGGCCTTTTTCGCTTGCAATGTAAGCAGAGCCTAGTCCACGAAAGTACTTCCGAGAAAACTATTTTATCGCATATTGTTAATAAGGAGATCCAGTTACTAAAGACCATAGCGTCGTAGCAGCGTAATTCGATTTAAAGTTTTAAAACACTTAACACAACAAAGGGTTAAGTGCTACCTATATATTAATTTTATATTTAAACTTGTACATTGATTGTTATTCAATCGCTGTTAAACAATTATGTGGTCCAATAAAGAGTAAATAAATCCAAATTGTCAGGCCCACGAGATATCATTCGAGTTTCAGAGCCCGCCAAGGGTTTTTTTTAATGGATGATAGTGGAATAGTAACTCAATCTGCGTTAACAGTATACACTGACGGGGCTTCAGTAAGAAATGATAAGTGAGAATGAAAAGGCAGGTCACTTAGCCTATTGTGATGAATACACCTCGAATTCAGCACGATGATTTCCAAGGGGGACCACGTGGAGGCTGACCTGACAGGGTGTATTGCAAGCAATGGGACTGGTAGTCCGCATTACTAATAATCCCTTTCCCTCCTGCCCGCCAAAGGTTGCGTAAATAAGTAAACGGAGTTAAAATTTGTTATTATTATAATTATGTACTAGAGTAACATGTTTTATTACTATCGCAGACTCGCCACACAAAAAAAAAATGGTGTTGTAATTTACGCTTGTCGGCATTTGACGATTTTGGTAAAATTCCAGGAGCCATCTATTTTCTGTAATTTTAAATTTATTTACACTTATTTATCAGTTAATGCTACAAATATATATATGTATATTTAAATACGAGTAAGTAACTTGTAATTATTGTAGATGTGTAATGAGCATAAATATTGAAGTTTCTTTAACGTCGACAAGCTTATAGTCTGTGGACGCCTGCAATACTAGAGAAGCAACGCGAACGTGACTGCCCTAGTGTTACAGGCATCCGTAGACTATAGTGACCGTTTAGGTATTATCAGACGGACTATATGCTTTTTTGCCACTTTAAGGGTATAAAAGAACTCGTCCCTTGATAGACATTCATTTATTTTTTTTATTCTAATTTAATTTTTCGAATGTGAATCTATGTATACTTACAGATTCACTTATCGAAATTACATTTTATTGTTGATAAAATGCATTTGAGTATCTCTGCGAGTCTAGTAGTTAGTTGATAAATACTGCTATCACATTTTATGGACTATCCTTTCATGCATAACAATCCGTTTAGGTGGTAATTATATAATTATTGTATCACAGGAACGGGAGACGTATCGGTTCAGTGCCGTTGCTAAAGTGATGCGGGAGTTGCTGAGCGGGCGGCGGTCACTCCTCGCTGGGACACTCACCCAGGATCAAACAAGAGCGCTGCGGTTAAAGCTCGTCGCGAAACTGGATTGGGGAAATAGGTAAGTGATAGTTATTTTCCTATAAACTCGGATCCTTCAAACAGCATGATAAGGCAATACCTACATTCTAGCAAAATAAGTTCAAATCGTTTCATTTCAATCAGACCGCCGCCATATAGTGGCCAACTTTGAAACTTAAAAGAAAAACTTGAAAACATCTTAAAATTGAAAGAAGAATGTTTGCGGTTGATCCTGTTTATGTTTTGCTCAGTTCGCTGTGTTCCTCTCTTTTTCGCTCAGAATGGTGTGGACACATATGCTATTATAAAATATAGAAAATAAGTGGTAATTAGTTCTCTTCTCCGCCCAAAATTACGGGATATAGAGGCGTATCATCTTAGTCCACAGGAGAAGCAATGCATAAGGGGTACAATGGAGGTTACAGTGCATTCTGTAACTCTATGGAGTTCATGTTTATAGACTATGGTCATATCAGGTGAGTCATAATTTGTTTGCCATTTCAAGTTGCATAAAAACTTGTAATAATTCTGGGTTGCAATATGTTATTATTGTATCCATATTTCACGTGACATTTCCTGACGCATATGGAACAAGGACAGCATCTACATACAGCAGCGTTTCCGAATAAATTGGACATAGGAACCTTTAAAAAACTTTTTTTTTTACACAACATAGAATAGCAAATAAACTGACGGCCCACCTGATGGAAAGTGGTAACCATCGCCTATAGACAGGTGCAGTACCATGGACATAACAGTATACTGTTTCGCCCATGATACCCCCATGCGTTGCCATTCCTGAGGACTTGGGTGTTATTCCTCTGTATCTTGTTAATTTACTGTTATATCCCACCCTTCAAACCGAAACACAGCCATGCAAACATAACTACTTCACGATTGAAAACGAATGGGATAGAGGTACCCAAGCACTACGACTTTTGTACAAAGTCTTACTCTGGCAAACGTGCCTAATTTTCTTAAAAGAACTGCAACTCGTCGGTAACTTCTCTGGTATTGCTAATTTTCAAGACCTGCTGTGATTTACAATCAGGTAAGTAGAAAGCACCATTACTCCTAACTCAAATAAATTACAAATGGTTCTCTATACGATTTACTAGTATTATTTAAGAATATAGTTATATCACTTGTATAATATACATATTTTATTGGTCCTCGCCAAAGTTTTTCTGTGATACCGTCCAGTTGAGTTCCATTTGAATAAGCCTATAGTTATATCAATGTCTAAATAATTTTATGGCACTCCGTCCTCTCTGCTTACTTGAGTGTATGTATCTTCATATAGGAATTGAAGATTTTTTAGATTTTATTTGCTTACTGTTTAAATTTTTTAAGACATTGTTGAGATAATCTTACTTTTCATGCAGAACTTTTATAGGCCTCACTGCTCATTATGACGGTGTGGTTGCCATTGATCCTGACTTACAATGATGGCTTGTCCATGGTTTCGCTATGTGTGTTAATACAATATAAACTTATAAAACTGTTCTATTTATCCCTGTTGAAAGATTTTATTGAAGCATTAGCAGTAAGGACCAAAAAATTCCTTTCAATAAAGCTATTCGTATTTATTGTACTGTAATTGTCGAAGATATATGATTGCGTTACATAGTGAACTAAATAAATAGATAAATAGTGAACTAGTAATTGTCTTCTAAATTTAGATATATCGGCCGATAGTTTAACAAAAAAAACGATACTAATAAGAAATATCACAGTAGTAAACTAATGTTTATTTTTGATAAGTCTTAATCTCCATTCCTTAACGAATAAATGGGTATTGTTATTTCCTACGTGCTAGTTGATATTCCAACTTATATATTTTAATTATATAAATAAAACGAGTAATATTTTTTTGTCTTTTTTTTATTAAAAAACTAAACTAAATAATTCAATAAGAGTTATACATGTACACTCTTCAATAGTCTACAGTCTTCCTAATTTTACAATATATGGAATGATAAAAAAATATTCAATGGAAGACTTGGATCAAAACCACATAATCAAGTCCATCCATTATGTCTTATTTCACATCACACGATGTTTCATTACAAAATATCGTCTTGATCTTTTTTTTTATATTATATATGGGCTTAGTCAGTTGCACTTTAATACAACAATAATATTCTTACTTAACACATATAGTCACAGGCATACTGCATGTTAAAATATATGAAATCTCTTTATTATTCTAATAGGAAATCATTTTGTGTCGATTTTAGGAAGTCCTGCTAATTGCCACGTCCTAACATAAAGAATATGGCTAATGTGACTGAATAAAACTTAAATCTAAAAAATGTTTCTCTCCAATTCTGCTTAAATACGGCATATGATAGAAAAAAAAAAAAAACATAAAATTATGCAATCGAAATGCATTGAGATAATTATAATGGCACAATACCTTGAGTTAATTTAATTTAATAATTATACAATGCGAGAAAAGCTTTTTGCAACGTAATCTAACATACTATATAGTAATGTTCAGTTATAAGCAATGCGATATAAAATAAAGCGAAAGCAACAGTGATATAATGCTATTTTATTATGATGTATCAGTTTGTACTTGAACGCCATTTCATTAGTTTTTTTTTTTTGCTGTCCAAAAGTGTCCAGTACAGTGATCATAGAAGATATAATTAAATTACACTAACACATTCACTGTTACGATTATTGTCATGTAAACCGCTTTAATAAACTTAATTGTAAAGTAATATACAACATGCTGAACTCTTCTAAACACTATGAAGTCATAAAATGTCTTTTATAAACGGATAAATCTTAATATATTGATTACTGTATTTTGTATTGTATATACTAAATAATTATTGTAAATTGAGTTAAAAAAATTATGAATACTTAGTGTAAAGAACTATTTAACTATTCACTTCATAATTCGAGTAAAATAATATTATATATAAGACATGATTTCACAGCATACGATACTTCATGCTAAACTAAATATTTATACTTATATCTAATTGTACACAATTTATGCAACCTGGCAACCGATCGCTCCTTATTTTAGTAACAAATATTAAACCTGAAACAACAGTCTTAACCGATTTTAAAAATAATTTAGAATACAATTTAAATTCTATCGTGATTTCTTTTGTTAACTTTCATTTACGTACGTACAATTTACCACGGAATAACCTCATTTTTACTTTCATCCACATTACACCAAAAAAACTTAATACAAAACTGAAGCGTAATAAAAGGCAAATTGGCTAGTATATCATTATACTAATAACACTTTTGGTTAATTAACATTAATAAGGAATGTCATAAATGATTCATGTAGGAGTAATCTTCGTTTGATCTTAAATCTTAGCGTATTTAATAGAAGAATACCTACATACATTGAGATTTGTAATTTTTTTGTTACACGTTTCAGTCCATTTGAGATTTCATTGTATACAAAAAATCCATTTAAAAATGCACCAGTGTTCATTGTGTTTGTTTGTTGTTATCCTTACTAAGGTATGAGCACATCAACCTATTCCGTTCTATCAAAATTAAAACTTGTCTGTCTATTCGCTTTTTCCGCATATTCAGTATAGCCACGTTTCGTCAACACTTGACATAATCATTTGTTAAAAAATACAGTCATAGGGGATTATTACACGATGTAATTTATATGTCCAAATTATATATCACATATTATGATCATATAATTTGAACATTATCATTAATTGTTTGCAATATAGGATCATAGAAACAATGTTGCCAGATAACTTTTAAAAAGATTTCATATTTATTTGCAGACAAACATCTAAAACAAAGGTTTACCCAGTTTACATTTTTTTTTACTCAAGATAGTCTTGGGTAAAAAATTTAAACTGGATGTTCATATTTAATGAAGATTAGGATAAAAGAAATATAGGTATTAGATTAGATCCTATACACTAATAAAAGTTTACCCAGTTTACATTTTTTTTACTCAAGATAAAGTCTTGGGTAAAAAATTTAAACTGGGTGTTCATATTTAATGAAGTGTAGGATAAAAGAAATATGGATTTTAGATTAGATCCTATGTACTTGATAGTGAAATATTCCCCATAATCGGCCATCCCTATTGTGCTCACCTGCACTCCCATTAGATTTATACTGTTTACGTTTCGGTCTCCTTGGGGAATTTGCCGATGTCCGGGTATATTGGCGCCATTTCGAGGGTGGATGGTGCTGAAGGGGCGTTGGAGCCGAGGTGGAGCCGTCTCGACAATTCATCTAACACTTCCCCGAATACTCGTAGAGACATATTCTGACCGAGTAGATGCAGGAGTAAGAAGTCTCCGATCTAGAAAGATAAAACAGGAAATGAGTTAGATCATAGTAACTACTATAACTTATTCATTATAAACTATAATTTATTCGTTATAGACAGGTAATATTCTGCGTGTGTGTCCATACTTCTTTTACATATTCTGAATGTTGTAAGGGACAACACGCCAATGTAGAAGTAAAAGAAAAAATCTATAAGTTTTGGCTAATATCTTTTTTTTAATAAGTATCCAAAATTGGGGCGTTAATGGTTTATTAAAATGAGGACGATTACATTTAAACTTTTTATAACTACTTTTTTCGACTTTTGTATATGAAAAAATTGTGTGTTCATTGGAATGAGAGGTGACAATTGCAACGTTGCCGTTGTCTGCCTATTTTTATGTTTGTTCTTTGCGACGACTATTAAAACCTATTTTACCTGTATATAATATAGGCAATAATATTCTGAAATCATGTACAGCAGAGTGAATAAGATGCCACTATTTTATCGGATCGCCTCTTAATGCTAATGACTTTTGAAATTGAAATTGACTAACCTGGGTCTTTCTAACTAGAGCCTCGACGCCTTTTGGTGTGCCGAAACGGAACCGCCGCTTCAGAATTGTCTCACGAGTCCTTGGCATGAATATCATGGCTGCCGAATATACAAGAACTAGGCCGGACACCACAGCTAAGATTATGAACCTGAAATGTTCAATGCATTTCATTGCACTAACTTAGTGTTAACAATTTAAAATATATTATTTTGTCAATTATAATAATACTATAATTATCCTATCTATTATAAATTAGAGAACCGGCCCGGCTTGGTATGGGTAGATAGAACTTTCGAAAATAGTATATAGCCTATGTTATTAGCTAATAATGTAGCTTTCTTTAGGTTAGAAGAGTTTTTAAAATTGGTTGAGTAGTTTTTGAGTTTGTTTATTACAAACAAAAAAAAACAGTTAAATCGTTTCTCTTTATAATAATATGAATTATAAATATGAAAAAGTTTAATTCTTTGTCAATCAACCCATAATCGGCGGAACATGACCATATCCGGACTAACATTGTTTTTATTTTATACTGTAATTCATATTTGTAAATATTTTATTAAAACAAGTGTTATATTGCAAAAATACATTTTAGCGGTTATTAGATTAGAAATATTTTGTTTAATTCTGCTAACATTAGTATTTGTGTGACTACCAACACTCAAAGATTGATCACCACTTTTACTACCAGAAGTTCCACAACCTTTCATATTTGCCATCAATCTTCGACTACCATTTTGTTCACGCGTGTTTTGGGACACGTTGTTGCACCTTTAAACGAACATCCTAAGGCAAATTATTAATTTGCTTGAAGCCTAGTGTTAACCGAACGACATCTAAAATACAAAATTCGCATTTTGGGCGCTGAACGATACGGGAAAAATGGCAGTCGAAGTTTATTGACTAATATAAAAGGTAGTCCACCACTGTTAACCTTCATGTGTTAGCAGTCATACACATACTAACGTTAGCGGAATTAAATAAAATAATTGCAATCAAATAATCAGTCATATTTGTAATACTGCAGGATGTGAATATTATGGAATTGTTTCTCTAGATAAATGTCAATATGTATAATTTATTAATAGAATATAAAAATAAATATAAAATATAGTACAAAATTTACTTACCAAAACCACAGGAAGATGAAGATCTTCTCGTTAAGAATGTTTAATGCTAGAACGCAGAGAGCGTCGTGTTTTTGAATTGTTCCCGACGCACCATATTTGTGGAACGTGCATTTGGTTACTCTTGGAAATACTTCGATCTGAAAAATGCAATATACAAAATATAACAATGTTTTCATCTGGTTTACACATACAAGAATTAATTTTGCATAAACTGTTTAACTGCGCAAGATGTCACATCTTGCGCTAAGTATAAAGAACTCTTTCTTTTTTATCGATAGGTCGATAATAATATTTTTAGGTCGATAAACAATGAATTGATTTGATAAAAAAAAACGTATACTAGACTATGACTACTTAGACTATGTTCTTTTTCTGGATTTAATATATCGATATAAAAAAACTACTAATATAAATTCAGTTCTTTAGCCATGAAAGCCAAGCAGAATGTCTACTTTCATATGTATAATATAAATATCCATAAATGTTAGAGGGATTAAACTCCAGGAAGTAAGCGTCCTATTCGAAATAATTTTTAAAATGCACTATCCATGTATTTCCTTTAATAGTAATAAGTAGCAATTTATCAAATTTTTGTTGACGATTAAACATACCATAGGGTCAGTACGGTCTTCTTGATTTTTGTTGGAAAACCTGACGACGTCTGTACCATAAGTCAGAAAGGCGCCACCGAGGAAAGTATCCAGGAAAAATATATTGCCAACCTGAAAATTATAAGATATAAGATTTAAACAATAAATCTATAATTATGTAGGATTTTACTAGGAATGGAAGTAACATTATAAAGTATATAACTTTCCACCAAACATCATTAAAGTATTTTAAGATATTTACAATCTTCTACTGCAAATAAAACAACGAGAACAAGGACGAGAAAATCGAGTGACAGATTTATAGTGGTTTTGATTCCTTTTAGTAACAACATCTTTGTGTTACTTCGACACTCACGATTTCACTTTTATTGCTTGTCTTTGCTTTTATGCACGATTGATTGATTTATTTTTGTTACGTGTAGTTTAGTCATTCAATTAAATTATTTCTCTGTCTATTTATCTGGCAACAAATTAGCGATTGCTTAAAAGCTTATACGTACCACATTGATGAAATTCAGTACTTCACAAAAGAAATATCCAAACGAGTAAGCGTTATGCATATGCAGGGTATCCATTAAATACTGCACTAGACGATTCTGAAACAAAAAAAAATCAGGGTATATTCGCCAGGAACATTTGCATGTAATATTAAGATGTAATTAAATCGAGGCGGCAAATGCTCGTTCTACATCTGCTCCATCAATTTTTGTTTATTGCCTTTTAAGAGCATTCTTTTGTGGCTTGACTGTATTCGCGAACAATTGTTGTTATTTTATTATAAAACTACGTGGTTCTATGTTTTAGTTCGAGTTTTATCTGTGTTACTTGTTTACCTATACCATAAAAATAATTAAATAGCTCAGAAACGAACATTACGTCAATAAAGACATGAAATTACAGTGCGGCGACACGTTCATTACGTGAGCGAGTTTCTCATCAATATGCAATTTTATTTTGTAAACAAACAAGCATGGAAGTCGTTCGATGAATATTCTATAATTATGACCTTTGAATGTACTGTTATCAAGTGTCGCATGCTCCGTTTAATTCATCTTATTAGGGACGCTCGCCTTGTTTAATTAATCGTCTCATATCTCAATTGTTTGAAATTAGATAGGGACCTTATTCAAGAAGTGAGCTAAAATGGATGAAATAACCATAATTGTATTCAAATATTTTGATTATTTGACAAGATTTATATTGTTAAATATTATAGTAGCGGTAACCTGCGATTCCTTACATGTAAATTCTGATGAAAAGTATTCTATTTACATTTTATAGTTTGGTACCAAATTTTAACTGTCACTAAGTTATAGTCGGGTCTTTGGGACTTAGTCATGTTCTACGAATGTTTACCTGACGACTGTTTCTGTCATCGGCGATGTTGGCGGCTGTTCCTCGCATACCATCAGAGATCATGCGAACCTTGCCCTCCTCCCAATTCTTCCATATCCAATGGGGAGTATAGAACAATACACCCTGTAACAAATTAGTAAATTAAGTATTGTAATTTATTAAGTTTAATAGACAGTTTGATAGATTAACTTATTTGAGTTATAAAATAAAATATGTAATGAACTATGCTATGCCACGTAGTTCGTCTACCTAATTTATTATCTCTCGTTGTTATGGGAATCTTTGGATATTTTTCTTCACAAGCACATTACCTAAGAAACGAATTTGAAATGCAAATATTCAGATTTGTGCCTGCTATTTGACAATGTGTTATTGTCAGTTACTTTGAGTTCAGTTTCTTTTGTCTATACATATATAAATGTAATAATCTTCTGAATATTAAGCGTGGGATTTGCGTGCGTGAGCGAATGCAAATTTCTAGACAGACGATACTGTCTGCATATTATCTAGATGCAAGGTTTGAAGAAATTGTCAACTCCGCTAATTGAACATTACATCATGTATGCAAATAGGTACATCATATTCCTCTCTGTAGCTGCAATGGAGTCGTTCAGAGGCTTCTCCTAAATTTGGTCTTAGTTTCTTTTCTCGGGACGAAATAATTTCGAAAACTATCTAAACTCTCTATCTACTTGAAATTTAGGAGCCGAATAAATAAAATGCGAATTTGATGTTGAAATCATAAAATAAATCCTATTGAAAAGATTCTAATTTGTTTCTAATTTTTTAATATAATTTTCTGTTCATGGTTTACGTTTTTGTTGAACACTTTTGTAAAGATATTTCACAAATGAGATACAACCCCGTCTACGAACAGGCTTGATTTCAGAATGGTAGTTTTTCATTGTGTTCATATTTAATATCGATAATTATGATCGCACGAACAAAATTTGAGTTTGGAATTACGTTTCATGGCTGACTTCACATCTCGGCAGCGTATTCAACAGAAAGTCCAAAAGATTATTGATTTCTAATAGTAAGCATGATGTGTTGAACAATGCATATATTAAATAAACATTCTAACTTTGTTGTAAAATGTCCCACAACTTTATATTCTTGGGATATAAAGTGTTCTATATGTTGCATAATTTGCTACAAATCCAATTATCTGTTTTAGTAAACAGCAAATATTTTAGTCTATAGGTCATTGCAATCGATTCTTCCTGCCTATCCTGTAGAGTGTCTGGCGTAAAGATGATTGAAAAAATAATTGAAATTCAAATATCGTCACACGTTTTTACATATTTATATGTTATCTCGTACTACACATTACTTTTTATCAAAAATGTTAAGGTGTTGATAGAAGAGTTAAATGTCATTAGAGCTTAAAAAATGTTATTGTCTTTTCTTGATCTCATTACTTTGTAGGCCAAGGTTTTATATTGTAATTTAAGTTCTTTTTGTGTAACCTTCACTACAACTATTAATATCTTAAGTAAACCTTTTACTGTGTCTTACTTTTGTCCATAAATAAATGTTGAGTGACATGAAATGTTTCGCTTATACTGATATAAAATATAAATGAAATATGTATTTGTTTCTTTTAGTATCAGTAAAGACTACAGAATTTGTTTATACAAAAATAATAACCAGTATAAATAATAGTAATATATGCCCCTTTATTCATAAAAATGTCGAATCTCTAATAAACCTATTTTACTTATCATAGGGTTTTGTCTTTTTGTACTAAATTTTTAATTTAATAGTTAATAAAATAGGTTTGTTGTAGCTTTTAGTTTTTTATAGATAAGGGAGATAATATATAAATCTGGTGCGGTGACTTTACGATAAAGGCGCATGACATTCTCTTTACCTATGTTACAAAGAACTGACGTGAAGATATCATACAAATGTTTAGAAGACCAAGGAAAAAATTTTAATATTAAATAGTGTACTGACCTGGAAGAATAACATGAACGGAACCCATTGATAGTATGAGTGTATGCGCTTGTCTTGCTCGTAATCGTTGCCTAGACCCGGGTGGGCTACAGTCTTTGAGTCGGAATTGGGTAGCGTGAAGGTGTACGTCACCCAGCAATAGGTATTGAGCACGTGGCCGGGTATGGCGCTGTCGTTGATGCAGCTTATTGGATCGCCTGGAAAAAAGAAATCCTCTGTTAATAAAACTCGAATACTGACAGAATGCATATCTTGAACGGGTGGTTTTAGAAACTTGAAGTGTTTTATAAGAATGATTGAAAAATCATAATACTCGTAAGCATATTAACTGGTCTACTGTCTCAATAATCTAATAACGCATTATATAAAACTGTTAAAACTGGAAGTTTAAAATTATACTTAGGTATGCATAGACCTTAATTACGTAAGTATTATTGTATTTAGGAGGGATCCGTTAAAAAGGATTTCCTGAAATTCAGTACAAGTGACAATCTAGTCAGACAATTCATTATACTTGTATTTCAAGATAGAATCCTGAACTACAACACTTTTTAAATACAGATTTAGTTAATTTTAAAATGATTTTCTACTTTTTTTTTATACAACTCAGAATGGCAAACAAGCTAACAGCCCACCTGATGGAAAGTGGTAACCGTCGACTATAGACATGAGCAGTACCGTGGACATAACAGAGTATACTGTTTCGCCCGTGATACCCCCCCCCCCCCATGCGTTGCCATTCCTGAGGACTTAGGTGTTATTCATCTGTACCCTGTAAATTCACGCCATATTCCACCCTTCAAACCGAAACACAGCCATGCAAACACAACTGCTTTACGGTTGAAACACGAGTGGGACAGAGGTACCCAAGTAATCGTCTTTTGTACAAAGTCTCCCTCTGGTGAGACTTTGTTCCTCCTTTTCTACTTGCTTCATGTCGCCATACTGTAAAATACATTCGAGGTCATAGAGGATAACAAAGGGACCATACAAATTGAATTAGTGGGTATCACTTACACTTAATGGTAGTAATTTGAGCTAAAAGTGAAATAATCTCAATCCTAAAAAGTAGCAGCTAAGCATCAGGAAATAGGTAGTGAGAATCTAAAGTACTACGCCACGTGAAAAAAATATTACACAACACACTTCGTTAATGAACTGTTCACTGGAGTTGTTACGAAATCAAACCGTTACTACTGTAAAGGAGACTATTTTTATGTTTACCAACATTATTTTTATACACGCTATTCCCGGCCTCGACATTGCAACTGTCGGCGGATGCGCTAATATGTCGTGATGCTGCACTGGCCCCCACCTGACAATCGGTGGCCGTGATAGTAATCGCCTTGACGTTGGGAGGGCTTAATTTGCTTTAATAAACACAGCATGTGTATACACATCTAACCTTTGTTCATACTAAGCATTTTTTTCTTATTTGACGAATATTATTATAATATACTATACTATTTAAAAGATTTCTCTTTCTTGCCATCTAGATTCTCATAATTGTAATATTTTTCTTATATCACAAAAGTGGCAAATAAGCATACAGCCTATTTGATGGTAAACGGACACTGAAGTAACCTATTTGGATATTTTTACAAATAACTACTAAACTACTGAACGGATTTTGATAAATTTCTATGGGACCAAACTGTAAGTATAGGGTATACTTACAGTTTGGTTCAGATAAAAAATAATTATCCAATTCGTTTTTTTTTTTGATGGATGAAAATGGTATGGTAACCCCGCCTGTGCTAACGGGATACGCTGGCGGAGCACCAGTGAAGGGTGACAGATGAGAATGAAAACAGGCCAGTTAGCCCATCATGATGAATTCATCAGAAATTAACCATGATAGTTTCCAGAACCGCGAGGAGGTCGACCTGGTTGGGTATATTGCTAGCAATAGGATTCTCAGTCTCCATTACTAACAATCTCTTTCCCCCCTCCAAATCGGTTTAGAACTGATAGAGTTATGAGTTATGATTGTAAAAAGAATTGTGATAATCGGCTCAGAATTAGCCACGTAATCGTGTAAAAAAAAAATCAAACGAATTGAAAACCTCCATCTCTTTGAAATTGTTTAATTATTAATTAAAAGTTGATTTTTTGTGATATGTATGAATAAATTTTCCTTTTCCTGTTTATTTCGACTTAGTTCTGATAAATCAGACTGTTATTATATAAAACCACATTTGTCAATGTTTGTGTGTATAAATATACGTTTCTTATGGGTCATTAAAAATATATCTGAGACTTATTTTTAATACTTATATTGACATTGAATTTAACTATAGTATAATTATGCACTATAAGGAATATGGGAAAATTGAATCCCAAATAATAATGAAATAATAACAAATATTTTTTATTACTTAGCAATATATTAGACAATCATGACTAATACAATTTTAATCGACCATAAATGTGTAATGTCCTACCATATTATATATTTAACTGAATTAGTATATGCTAGTTTGACACTAAATGATGTTGTGTGATAAATAAAAGTAAATATAATACTAATGACATAATAAACATTAGTGTCATATCTACTCTTTTATTAAATATCTCCTAATAAGTTAGAAAACATTTGTATTATCTTCCACGAGTTTTAAACACACACAAATCTGAGAAATTGGTACAAAAGATTTCTTATGAAGATGAATTCCAAATTTTACTAAATGCCAATAATCACCAGCATCAGCAGAAATATTTATAACCTGTACTTGATATAACATTGCGTCAAATTGCAAATTCTGAATTATTCAATAGTTGACAAAATTTCTTTACACTTTTATCATTAAAAGCGCTTATATAGATTTCATTCACGTGGGTACATAACGTTAACAGTATCCATTGTTAGGCTGACCAACCCTGAACCACATACAAAGTGGTCATTCTGCGCCACAATGTGAGGAGTGACCGACTATGTCAAAAGATAAGAAGGGTACTGGCACTCGTCCTAGAATACATCCGAACAGATCCGATAACAATGTTTATTTATTAAAGACTATATTTTAAAACAAAAGTAATACTTAAGCACATTCAGTAATACTTAAGCAATTGTTAACATCTGTTTTAAGAAACAAAAGAAGGAGGTCTCAATTACTCTGAATTTTTTATGACTATGTTACACGATTACGTTACAAAATTTTTTTTACAGAATCTTTATATTACTACAGCTACTATTTTGCTTCATAAAATTATATTAAGTAATTTATAGACATATGATGATGCTTTTTTAAATTCCAATATTATCAGTTCCATGCATCTATAAATAGTCTCGTCACGCTTTGGATGTTTATAATTGAAGTTATATTTTTTACAAAGCAAAATGGTCTTTAATTACAAAGAGTATCCAAAGACAATATTATTATATTGTCATTTTGTCTATGCACGTCACTATTCTATAGTTTGCGATTAAAGTAAAATGGTTGCAAAAAGACGTTTTATTATATGCTGAGTCTGATGCCTGAATGGTAGACACCATTCACCAATTTCCACAACATGATAAGATTAAAACATTTGTTTTTCTTAAAGCAACACTATTTAAATGTATGGAACAAAGGTATATAATGTGTGAAACAAAGAATACTTAGAAAATTGACATTCGCGTACACCGTTATGTTATGAATCATACAAAATAGTTCAGGTGTGTTTTTGGTTGTTGTCGCGTGTACTCTAATTGCTCAATAATGGGTACTTAAGATAGTTAACACCTTTATTTATCATACTTAAAGCACAATATAACGTTTAATAACCTCTTATCGTGCAGTGCTTATTAAATGAGTGTATATAAGGTCTTAGATATGATTGTTGGTGGGAATTGTCTTAAGATAGCTGTAGTACGTGTCTTACGTTTTGATATTCCAAATCACAATTCAATTCTTGAGAGCTCTGCTATCCAAGTATATGTACTTGTACATAGACACTCATAACTTGTTGTACAAAGGATCTTTTTGAGAGTAGTTTTGAGTGTTACTAGGAACCATAAAATAGAAAAGATATTTTTTCACTTCTAATCTAGGAATCTAAGTTCATAATATTTCCGTTGTACACGTTAGGAAACTATTGATATTATACTAGTATCTAATTGGAATTTGATAATTTATTATGGTAAAGGATACGGCTGTAGACAATAAGACATTCATTTAGTTGGATATTCCTAAACTATTGGAAAGTATCTATGCCCCTTAATTTCTCTAATAAATGCATGCAGTAATCTTTAGGGAAAGCTTCGGCAAGAAGATCATTCCACAACCTGAGTGTTCACGGGAGGAAGCTCCTCTGAAACCGCACTTTGAGTGACCATTCTGGTTCTAAAGATTGAGTATGGATTCCCTACCGATGATGAAAGTTGGCTGTAGGCATCAAAGCAAAAAGTGCTTTAAAACATAATCCGTTGTACAGGCGGAAGAAGATACTTTTGCATCTTATTCCACAAAAAGGATTTTCAATCAACCTTTGAATGTCTGATAGAAATTGAGAATTGGTGGAGACAACAAAAAAACCAATTAAAAAAATAATAAGTGTTACAATCGTGAGCATATTTATTTATCTAAATGCTGAGATGTTGGTTGTTCTATTTGTAGTAATTGTAGTTACGTAGAAGTTAATAACTGGTAACAATATACGATAAGAACTAGCCAATCGATGTAGGTAATACCAGTACAAAATACTTGTTACAACTCTTTTGTGGGTCAGGGTAAACTGACGTATATAAATTCTATCATATTGTCATCTTTATGGTATACATATTGTGTTTATTATACACACAATATCATATATTGTGTTATATTGTTTCTATTTTTATTATTGCTCATCCGAATTGCAACATGCTCTTTTGTAATGTACCTATAACCGCTTCTATATGGCCACATTTTATTCATGGATGCAAATGTACATAGGATAAAATCAAAGTTTCTTTTAAGAGAGAATCTAATCAGGGAAATTGAACATTTTATACAGAGACATAGTTCGAAAAATTACAAATATGTAGAACCTATTAAATTGATAGCTAAAATGTACATTAACAGTATGAAAGGCTCAAATTTTTTGTCATATTCATCGTATCCATTATTCTATATATAATGTTGACTTTTCCAAGTAGGAAACTACATTAAGAGATGATAATAATTTCTACTTTCAATAATATATATTACCTATACAATGCTCCATAAAAAAGTTGTTTCTTTATGGTGGATAGTGAATTTAAATATGATTTCATACATAAAATATACCTATATTAAATAAATTGTAAATTTGCTAAATTCCCAAAACACTTTAACATATTTGCGTAAAGCGTATTCTACCGTAGAAAAAATAACAATCATATTAGATATCACAGTATTGCTGTACCTATGTAATAATTATGTATAAGTAAGCTGTGATAATCGTAATTTAAGAATCATTATTATAAATAATTAAATTTTCTATAAAAAGCAACTATTACCATTTATATAGGAGCAATACGGGAGTAAACCATATGGAAATAAATTGAATATAAAGTTGTATCCAAATCTATTCAAACTAGAGTAAGGTAATATGTAACGCACAAAAACATATGTACACGACAATTGAAGATATCTTTCTTTTCGAAATTAAATCAAAATAATAAGTGATTAGATAATTTGAAATCAAAATAAACTCGTATTTCACCTGAGGGGAAAGCCAAGAGCCTTCAGGATTGGTGGGCAATTATGCATTTGTAAGGCTAGTTATGAAAATGGACGGCGCAAGCATCTATATATGCACGATAAGAATGTGATTCTGCGGTTTTCTTCATTCGAAACCCGATTACTCAATATGGGAGATATTACATTGGGTATATTACATCTGAATATATCATATTACATATAAATTACAAAATGTTGTAAGGCTTGGAGATTTATATTGAACTAGTTAATCCAACAAAAATTGCTTGCCCCGTTTTACCACACACCTGGTCCATTTTTTCTTATCAGGTAAAATTTTTTTCCCATGTCTTAAGTTGGGGCAAACAATACATATATTTATAAAATTTCATTAAATCTTCGGTTAAGTAGTTTCATAGATTAACCGTAAACGAACATCTATATATACTAGTATAATATATGTATTACTGGTAACCCGCCCCGGATTTGCACGGTTTTGTTTTAGATAAAATGCAGCCTATATTATTTGTTGATAATGTAACTTTCTATAGCTAAAAGATTTTTGAAATCAGTTTCAATTTTGTGACTTTGTCCATTACAAAAAAATCAATTCTTTTCTATTTACTTATTTTCCTTTTAATTTAGAAGAAAGATTATTCTTTTATTTGCTCTCGTTAACTAATCACGTATCTGTTGTATTAGCTTTCACAGTTCACATGATCGGTACATATAGCGTCTCGCTTATCGTATGCATTTCCAGTTGTTATGATTACTTGCACCTGAGGTGTATGTAATTGTCGCATATGGCACGAACGGTGTTTGTTATCGCTGTTGCTGACTTAGCTTTCCAAGCCCACTCACAAGATGCTGATTGGAACGTGATTAAAACGACACTAGTTACACAATTCAAGTTTTTACCCACGACTTTGTTTGTGTGACCAGGTGGTCTACCATGAAATAAAATTCCGATTTTTTTGGGCTCGATTTCATGTTTTTGTTCGTACCGATATCGACCCAGTAAATGGAGCTTAACATTTCGTTTATCCTAAATCCTATCCTAATAGTTCAGAGGAACGATATTTTAACATTTTTAATAATTTTAAATGGCATGTATTATATAATTTTAACATCAAATTTCTGTTTCGTTCGTCCCCGAAATTTCGGAAAATATTTCATGGTAGCCCCTCTGGATATATTAACAAACTAGGATAAAAAATAGCCCATATCTTTCACCGTCCTATATAGTATGTGTGTATCTTATTTTATATTGATTTATTAAGCCGTTAAAAGGTATAAAAAAAATAAGCAAACTCGCTTTCATGTTTATGATATTAGTAAAGATTAATGTTTTTGAACCGATTTCAAAAAGAAGGGGGTTCTCAATTCTGTTGTATTTTTTTTTATGATTATTTAAAGCGATTTGGAAATTTCTTTTTTTTATCTGAAAGAATATACTTAGTTTAGTCCCATAGAAATTTTATCAAAAACGGGTTTCCACCAGTTTTTAAATCAAAATACATAATTGGTTTTTTCACAATTGAAGTCTATTTTTTTTTTTGGGACGCAATCTTTAATTATGTATGTATACACATATAAAATAGCAGAGATTCGTTAAAATTAGGCAACCCTATTTTTTTTATTTCCATAAATTTGAATGATAGATTAAAACTGGCTGAATGTTTAAAATGATGTACTTTGTTTGATTCAGTTATCAATAGCGTGCATGCGACTATAAACATTTAATACAAAGTAATTCTAATCATCTAACCAGTGATATGGACTTCCGTAAAATAACATCTAATTAATAAATAAAATAGACTGATAGATATTGCTGCGCAAAAAAAAAAGCGATAAAATACAAATTGTTAAAATCAGTTCTGTTTTTAACTAAGTATATATTTCGTAACATATTGTAAAAAAAATATACATACTAACTGAAAATCTCCGTTTTATTTTAATAACGAAGACACCAGTCAAAAAAAAAAAAAGCAAAAGTGTAGGTGTTCTTGTAATATTATTCTTGCTTATCATAATAATACGTTTACTCATTTAGAAATGGCGTGGGAATGTATCTTAACATACAATACATACGTATCTATTCTCTCAAAGGAGAGGTCTCTCATTGTAATATACCTACCATAATTAGGTTAATTGGTTATTGTATAATAAAATGTAATCAATTTAAATCGATTCAAATAATATATTTTAACTTATTAATAAATATATTGAATTGTTTTTTTTTATTGAAAATATTGTCAGTTTAAAATTTCATATTTTTTACAATTTTATACAAAATTCATTATTTATTACTAGTTGTTTCCAGCGGCTTTGTTCGCGTACGTCAGTATAGGTATAAGGCTATGTGTACATGACCTACTAGTACCAAATGCTCTAATCCGTTTAGCCATTTAAGCGTGGTTAAGTAACAACATTAAAATATTTTTACAAATACTTTTATATGTTTAATATTAGTTAGACCTTAAGGCCAGCCTCTTGAATTGAGAATTAAATAGAGCTAGAAAAAAATACTTTAACCTTTGACTATACCGTATATAAGTGGCTCTCAATCAGCATGTTTATTGTCGTAAATAAGGGCTGAGTGATAACGGACAAAAACGATATTATGAAGATTTATTTTATTCCACTGCCACTTGAAGTATTCAATTTGTGATGTAGGTACGTCTTTCATTTATGATTGTAGGCAATATAACTCGCTCTTAAGTGGTAACGAGCACTAATCACAATGAGTAGTATAGTTATTACTTTAATAAAGCTTATGCCCGTATGCACACACTTATATACGTAATCTAAGTGCAATTTCTAATTTGATATTAATGATCTGATTTTTTTTTTCGTTAAATAAATATCTGCGTCATTCTTGACAAAATTAGTGTGTTAACAATAGGGAAGTTAAAGCCCTTTAGACTTAAAAATTGACATAATTGTTTTTTTTTTTCTACTTGTTACATCGCTTGAGACACAAATAATTTATCTATCTACTGTATACACATTTAAGTTTTTTTAAATACCTTTTACAGTTATTTGTACCACATTTACTTTTTGTTACTTCCAGTCACATCACGTACATTACAATGTTTATTTGCGAAAATATTTATCACGTCTGAATTTGGCAATGTAACAGTTGTCTACACGGGGTTTCCTGAACGATGACCTGAAAATGACTCACTTTACGCAGTTTACGGCGCTGTCTGGACAAACTGTTCTCTTGACACGGCTCGTACTATGTGGTCCATAGGTTTAGTAGGTCATGTTATTAGAATATGAGATGAATGGAGCTTCTGTTGTGTAATTAGAGATACGTTTTTATGGACTTTCACTAAGATTCAACTGTAGATACTTTCACAATAATTATATTTAAATAAAATACCGGTTTATGGGGTATTTGCTCTTACTTAACATTTTAAAATATTGTGGTCTATTAAAGAACAAGTACTGGCAGTAAACTTTAAAGGTTAATGTTATGCAAAACATTATGACTATTGAACGGCAAAGTAACTGTAATATTGACGGACAAAATACTTATGGATATTTAAACTTTGTTTTTTTTTTACTTGTTGAAAATCTCTGAAGTGATTTGTGTCATAGAATGTATATATGATACTTATAAAAGTACATATTCTTGATTTAAATAGACTTGTTTACAAGAACTAAAATTGTAATTATTCTTTGTTTTTACCCCCGGATATGGAACAATGTTATCTGTCGAGCAATATTAAACAGAAACTGAATAATGAGTTAAAATTTTAAATAACTTTATACAAACAAAATACATTGATTATTTATCTAGAAAGTAGGTACATATAAGTTCCTATAAACATGAACATATCTAATACACAATACAGTAATTTAAAAAAAAAGGCGTTCTCTTGGTATTTCAAGCTCTTATAGACTGTCATAATTACTTGCTATCAGGCGTACCTAAACTTGCTTAAACTGAAATGATTGTTCATGTGACCACTTTGAACAACTAAAGTTATCACTAAAGTCTCGTCTTGTAAGTCTAATTTGAAGCGTTTATGTAGCAGTAATTCCTTATTACCATAAAGAATATTAAACAGTACTATGTACTCACCTATAAGGTTATTGGCCGTCACAAGTATGCAGCACAAGAATAATATGGCAGATGTGATGCGATAATGCATCCTAAACACCATGTTGTCAATCACAGCTTTGTCGATAAGGTAGCGGACTTTGATGAAGCCCGCTACCGCGGAGGCCATGCCAAACACCGCCATCCTGGATTAGTAACTGTTTTGTCTGTAACAAAAAAGAATTATTAAGCACTATAAATTTCATTTATTTTTCAAATGAAATAAGAAAATAAATCACGGTTTATATCACAAACAATGAGGATTTTTTTCTTTGAGTCGTGATTATCTAGATAATAATTATTTAGAACATTATTTAAATTATTTCAGCGCTAAAATAATACAACAAATCTTTTAACACCACCAACCATAATAACCATGTGATTCGAGTGATAACAATAGACTGCATGGGTTTACTATAAATAAATGAAAGCACCGCCATGACGAGTGCCATACGCAACCAAAACTAAATTAGAACGTAAACGGTAAACTTTATTACTGTTTCGATCTGAGCAATGTGTTTAACAGCTGTGTCGATTCCTCGTTTGGTTTGATGGCTTCATTTTCATGTGAATGCTGATTAGTGACACGACAGTGTCACCGATAACTTCACTTTGTATGTATCGGAAGTTTTTTGACTTTTCGTAATACATCGTGATTGAACCGTTAGTCGAGAACCAAACCAGAATAGACGCAGGTACTCATTGCCAGGGTCTCAATCAATGACCTCACACATAATTTAACGATGCGGCTACCTCGCCCACGCCCCGCATTAGGCATTTGGGTCCGTCTCTTTTTATAAACTAACATTTTCTCTTAATAGCTAACTTTAGAGTGACTAATCACTCACGTGTAAAGAATCCTAATGGCAATGGGCTTTTTATGTATTTAAAGGCTCAAATTTGCGGCCACCATAAATAAGAGGCACTACTAGTAAATATATACTTATGACTAAAATTCTCGATGAGGTAGTGAGTATCATTAACTACTTTTGTCGTAAATGTTTTAAATTCCACATTTAAGATTTTTATCTATAACTAATTTTAAAAACAATAAATAAGATATTATTTTTAAGTATGGAATAATATGACATTGGTACATAATTCAGACCCTACATGCCCGCATGTGGTCTTACATTACTTGTGCGGTTTACGTTACGTATCTACAAATAGGCAAGTAGAGTATATACGACAAATAGATCCAGCCTTGGCAACTTCTTGATCCCGTTCCTACGCTATGTCACGTGTCCCGTGACTCCCGTGCGTTATTAGGCCGACCTATAGACGTGAGAAATTAATATGTAATTGAAATTTATTATCTGTGTATTTCGTCACGAAGGAAGGACTCTTTTTCAACGATAGGAATTTGAAGTGAATCTTTTATAAGTGATGGATATAAAACACGTAGATTATGTTGAAATATTACAGAACGATGACGAAGATGGCGCTAAACCTTTTAACGTTATCGCCTTATAAAAGTTCCAATTTATTTTAATATTGTAATAAACCTAGTCTACGCTTACTTTGATTATTATGGGTACTAGTAAGATTTACTATTGAAGCTAGTGATGGACACTTCATTTTTATTCATAATATGCTTTGGTATTAAAAGATTTTAAAATTTGCTAACGTAATCTCGTAATCATGTTAGAATTAGTCGTAAAGACGAATGTTGCGCTGGCGCAGGGCATGTAGCGGGTCGTCGACCGATCGTTGCTCGTGCGCCTCCTGCGTTTTGAACTCCCCCCATCCCCCCACTGTCCCCTTCGCTGCTTTACTTCCCCCGACCCTGTGCTGGTGCATCGCATGGCAACGCGAATTTTATGCGGAAACCAGTTTCTACGGCGACAACGACACTGCCGGCTTCAGGCATCGCAATCTTGATGATCGATTAGTCTTGGAGAGGGACTCGTTAGACTTGTTTATAACAAAGGAAGGAATACTATACATAAATCTACAACTCTAATTACACGTAACACGGTTGCTTTAATTGGTACACCTGGCCTCTTAATAGCACCTGTCTGTATTGTATCAGTGTTTTGTAATTATTTCTTACTGTCTACCGAGGACCCCCAAAATGAGGGCATGTTGAGGTGAACATTGTTTGTCAACGCTTTGACCGATAATGGAGTAGTGGAAGGAACGCAGCGCGGTGTGCATTCTATCGTTTATGACAGGCGCAACCACAGACGCTAACGTCAGACTCCGTTCATGAACCTTTTGTATGGAACATTATTACCATCAGTTTTTCTATATAAGATAATAATATCAAACAACTCAATATGTTTATCTCTAAGGAATGAATATTAACAAGTTACCAGCCAGTGTCAATTATTTATGTCGGTCGGCACGCGTCGACGACTCGACGTTGAATGGACACTAATTACAGCAGATGATAGCGAGTCATCGGCTTGGTGCGTCTGAGACGATACCAGCACAGCAACCTGCTCGTGGGAATGGAATTTTCTCCCGATATCGATCCTACTCATGACTCTATTGGCTTTCATCGACGTAAAAGCGTGTCTAATAACATGAAATGTTTCGGTCCAGTTGAACTGTCTTGAGATTTGCGCATTGCAAGTAACCGTCTAGATGCCTCTGTCGTAATTTACGTGTTTCGGATCACGTTTGTCCGACTTGCAAGAAATCTTTTCGCTTCAATGGTTAAATCATTAATCATTTAACACCTCGTGCGTAATGATGTTTAATTCAATTAATTGTAAATAAAAAAAAACCCGAAGTTTTTCCTCGTGAGATGTTTAATTCATTAATTTGTTTTCTTTTTTATTGTTGCAATTTAAATGTTACATGTTTCATAATTTATTTATTAGTTACAATATACGTAATTAGAATTATTAGTTTACGAGTATTATTCTTCTTTTGAATTACATTTATAAATTTGTATTTCTAAACCTATTTTATAATTAGGACGTCGAGCTCACGAACTGTTTGTTGCGAGTTCCTCATCTAGTATTATTACGAGTTGCTATATTCAAATTTGTATTTTTTACTGGACTATTGTTTTCTGCTAAACTAAATATCTTAATAACTGTGATTATTTTCGAATTAGCTATTCATAACTATTGGAAATTGTGGGTGCGTCACTGATAGATAAGAATTAGTATTTGTCATATCCGTACACGAGTACCTATGACAAGTTTTCGTTACCAGTAAGCCAATATGTGTGGTACGGAAATGCGCTCTGAACTGTGCAGTTACGACGCGGTTTAGATTGTGTTTCAAATGATTATAAGGTTTATATATTCTCTATCAATTTTTTTATAATCATGCTGTTTGTCAACACTAATTAGCTTTAAAAATTTGTTATATTAGATGTGTATTAAAAACAAACACGCCTTTGTATACAAACAGTCATGCGGGCTAATTGATCTTGTATGTGTACGTAATACTATAATCTAGCATGGTAATCAGTGTTAATTATAAATTAGGATCTTTCAGAATGTGTTAACAACAGTTAAATTGAAACTATTATATGTAAAATAATAATTTTTATGTTAGCATACCTACAGTACATACCATAGTGCATTTTTATCAGTCTTTGGAAAGCTTCGAATGAAAATTACAGTTTTTAAGATTTTTTTAAAGTATATAAAATTGATTGTTTATCATAAATTTTAGAGTCTATTTTTCTTATCATCACATAATTTGACTCTTCTAACATACAATATTTCAAGTTGTTATGATATTTGGAATATAGTATATGTATTATCGACAAATTACATTTCAAATGTTAATATAATGATGAACTCTCATATAGGTTATCGCCAGGCGCCCCGAGATCATAGATGCAGGTGGCGTGAAGCACGCTCCGTGACCAGAATTCATTGACTATGACCAGTTAATACATACAATTTTTGTTTGGCCAAGAATGCTCTCACACTTTGCTTACTAGGAAACCAATAATATTCTGTATATGCTTTACATGTCCCTATTTTAAATTCAAATGTGTACCCATTACGCATACAGTATTGCTTTTAACGTTATTTTACTTGTTTATTACTCACGTTTATGTAAAATATCATATATTTTATATCATTTTATTAATTCATTTTCTAATTTTGATCATTTATGTTATTTTAATTACCCGGCTATTGTTCACAGCAATTACATTAACCTTTAGGTAAAAATAATGACTTGCGACTATTATGTAAGTGAGTAGACTAGTTAGTTAATGTACTGATCATGTCCGGTGGTGATTGCAGTAAATAACACCAGTCAAATCGATACAATTGAATGAATGAGGAAATTATTACTTATAGACAATCTAAATTATTAAAATTGAATGCTTGGTCATATCCGGCTTGACTCTTAGTCGGCAAATTATTTTTTCTCCATTATTTAACGTGTCCTTGGCGGAATCATCTTCAATAGAGGACTGTGGACCGTGAAATCATATTACGTACTATTTACTAAAACATTGAATAAGCAGTACAATTTAGAGTTAATTCATTGATACAGCACTTTGTATATATTTCGTACTACCTGCTTGCTTATGCATATTAAATAACGTGGTATTTATTTATTCAAAGTCGTGTTAAATCACAGTTGAACATCGTATTGCTTTGTTCATTCTATTCAAATATTGTTTGTCCGGGAGACTAGCGTCCCTTCTCCATTGAATGCGATCGTAAACCAGGTAAAACGGGAACAAAGTCGCTACCTGTGAGAAAGTTTGCTCTGGCACATTGTGATAATGGATAAAAATATTGTGGTGCCGGTCACTGTACATTCATGTACTTTAAACATTATACTAAATATGTTTCATTCCCAAGAAAGTGGATGAAATGTAAAAGAAATGAGTTGCTTTATAGTATAGGCTTTTGTTCCCGCACATGTATGCTGTCAAACAGCATTCCTCGCTTCGTCGATATGAGTTAAGCGCGTCTCGATTCATCCCACTGAGATTTTGTGACACAACTTACCTTTTTAAACTTAACAGTTAGTTAACAGCGCCTTCGGTTTCTTAAAATTGTTTGTAACGCACTTTGTCTTTAAACACAACACTACAAACACAGCCTTGCGTAAAATTCTATATTTAATTTAAACGGTCGACGATTAACGTCATGATATTATTGTCGATGTCATAATATGTGATCAAACGATTGCAGTAAACGAGTGGCAACGGCGACCCGGCAGCACAAAACACACCAGCTGCTGTTGGGTCGGAACACAAACTGGAAAGCTTAATCGGTCGCCCTCTTGCTTACTCGGTGACTCGCGCCAGTATTTCACTTCACTACTGAACTCAGCTGCGGCTGCGTGCGCGCAGGTTGTATTGTTATCTCTTTCCCCCGCGTTGCTGCTCCGCTTTACCTGACCCTTCTTTTAACCCAACTACCCAAGTGAGTGCACAGTAGTCAGTAGCTGGGTCCGAGAGAATTCACCGACGAACGAGTTTTTGACTTTTCGTTTCGCCTTACCTCTATGGGTAATAATTTGGAAGTTACGTATGCCATTTTTTAGATGATACGTATTATGTTTACTGGTTTTAACGAGTGGGAATCGCTTGCGGGTGTTAATTAACACAGTGTCGGAGGCTGTAATTTGTTTAAATATTATTAGCTAATTCTTCTTTAAATTATTGCCGTTGCTATATTGGCCTAAATCCCAGAATAAAATTATTTATATTTATTTTTAGAGTAACCTATTTAACTTATATGTATTTATTGAAGTATTATTAATGTATAATAACAATAATAATGTATGAGGATGATATGCTTCGTTAAAAGTAGAAACTACCTAAGTAAATTATATTCATATAGGGATGATTGATGATGATAATTTTTATTGATATAACTAGGTATCTTATTAGTATCTAAATAACTTAGTTTTATACTAGTTATATCCCGCGGTTTATCTTTTATTGTATAAATGGAAGGATGATGAAATGTATCCTGTTTTAGGATAGACACTATATTAACACTGTGGTATTAGTATCGAATACATTTTGCTCCGCTAAAAAGTAATTTTGATTATAAAAACATATACAATTAAACGACAAGATGTTTCGTAGACGCATTACTTTGAAAATATGCGAATTTAGAACAGAATTCATATTACACTTTATACACAGAAATAAAAGTAGAATCGCGTGTGTTACGAGTAAATATTGCTTTGCAACGGGCAAATTTTTGTATCGCAAATAAAAATGACAGTTTTGAACCTCACAAAGGTAATACTAGGCTAACACTGGAATAATTATGCAATTAATTACAAAAAAAAAAAAAAAAATCAAAATCGGTCCATTATGTGCGATGTTGTCGAGAAACATAACTACAAAAAAATCAGTCTAATTGCAAACCTCTTCCTCTTTTAGTCTCTTAAAACGGATGTTACGAGTATATTTTTTTTAACAGAAATATATTATTATTTCGCTATTAATTGATTAAATTGAATCTATAGGGGAGAAGTAACTGTGCAGGTCGGTTTAGGGCACACTTGTTGATCGGTGATCGATTTAGAGATATTTTATATGAAAGTTAAATTCAACAAAATGAAATAAAATCCGTTGAGAAATAAAATTGACGAAGTCCTTGGAATAAATGGTACTAGGGAGTTTATGACGCCAAATCCTGTCTGTTGTCTCTACCTGCCCAAAACAAAAATGGGTTTATTGTACTCGTAAAAGTATTACTAAACATTTATTTAACCATACAAAAAATGAAATGAATGGCCAAATGAATAGTAGTTTACAATTACAACGTAAGTATTATAGTGATTAGGTACGTACAGAATTCATACTCTTTAAGTACTGTTATCTGTATTTCTATACATATAAATAACATATATTTACAAATATTGGCATTCCCCAAACGAAACAAAGTCGCAGACAAAAATAGGTACTTACGAGAATACTAAAAGCTAGAATACTTTAGGAGAGATGGCAGCAGGTATGTGCGTGCGAAAGAATGTTTAGTCCATTGCATCTTTTTTTTAGTGTTTCCAATCTCAACAGGTACAAGAGTCCGCATACCTTCGCAATGATACAGCCATCGATAACGTGTATCTATATGCTACTTATGCATTTATATTATTTCATTTATATTTGTACTATTTTAATATATCGAAACTGCACGAAAATATGTATCTAATAGAAGGCATTAGTGTCTAAGATACAGGCTAGGCCTAGTTTAGACACTAATATGCTGGGCATAATGCTCCATTTTATAGACATATAATTCACTTTGAAATTTCTGTAAGCTCATGACTGTATATTTTTATGTGCAGTAAATCTTTATTATTATTATTATTTATTTAAAGTCACTATTTTGGACGTTTGTTTCTCAATCAAACTTAAATGGTTCAATAGATTTCAATAAAATTTGGTTCATTGATAGACTATAATATGTTTGCATATAGAGATAATGTTTGGAACTAGCTTTAAAAAATCTTTTAAAAATAGAAAGTTGACTATTAAGGAATATTAGAATATGTTTATGATAATTCCCACGGGAACATTGATAACATGTTCTGCGCAGGGGAAATTACGGTGGTCTCCTAGTGTCATTATAGATTGATGTAGTTATTATAGGTATGATGATTCACGTTTGTCGTTAATATTTGGATAATATTTCAAATATTTCAAATATAATTATAGATTTATTACCCTAGTTATAGTAGGTAATATTACAAAAATTATACGGATATAATTAATCGAGATAAAAAGTAACCTTATACCAAATTAATGTCACGATAATTAAGTCGCTAATATATAACAAATAAACATTTTTGTTGTTTTATTAATAATATGTATTATATAATATTTGATGCCTTCTCAAAAAAAAAAACTATGGTATCACTACCTACTTGTCACATATGAATAGAATGATGAAATAAACAAGATTTTTTTGCAATTTGCTGCTGGCCTTTTCGGTCCTACGACGCCACAGTTAAAATGACAATGGCGTTTAAAGTTTAAAACGACGGAATTTTACGTTTGTGATTTACTAAACCCTCCATAAAAACTGAAACATTCTGCAAACTTATTTTAACTATTACACTGTTTTGTCACTTTCTTTCTAATTGGAAATTTTTTGTAAAAGAAAGAGACTAAAGAGTTCAATTAGAGGTGTGATACTGTTATGAATAAGGGTCATTTTACTATCTTTGTTATCTCTTAGTGCTTTAATAATTCAACAGGTTTTGAAATTTTACGTGTTCTTTGTAGTCTTAGGGATGAAGAAATACCCTAATTTGGAGTTACAGGCATAGTGAGTATTAAAGTATAAGCATAAAGGAAAATTATAATCCAGATTCAAAATTTTTCCTTTTCCATCCCGTAAAGGTCCTGGCGTGAAGATAGATCTCATTCATGCAGACTTTCTATAAATTATCACCACTACCACCCAAAATTTAATTTAGAGACAAATGGGATAAATTCAGATGTAGTTTTTTTTTTCTTATGTGAAAGAGCGACAAACAAGCATGTGGTGATCCTAAATAACAATGATTAATTTTTTTTTTGAAGTACTTAAGTATCTGTAGTAATTAACGTAGTTAAATTAACTACTCAATTTAAGTGTAATTATGCCTGTATCTACTTGATTTTCTTGTTAATACGGTTATGTGTAGACCTATTGTTCTGTTTATAATACACGCAACTTGTTTACCTTGTCCTTTATCTGCACTACAAATATTTCAACACAGAATACACTTGTCTGCATAATTTTAGAATTTCTTTGCATATATGGAAGATAGATGATTAGAATTTAATACATGTTATCAATGTACTATGTCGGGGCAGAACATGAATTATTTCTATTCAATAGCAAATCTGCTTGTGAGCTAATGCAACCGACTTTAAAGATCAGATGAGACAATTCTTTCTCTAATTCGGAAAAAATGATAAATCAGGCCAATTATTCAGGTCTGTTCTAAATTCTAATTTTAGTTTTTTTTCCTTAAAAACTTTGCATTCCATATAAACAACCAGTCTTTCACAAGTAATTTGCTTTCCAACGACCAGCATATACAAAATATAGAATTATTATCACATCGCATGACCAAAACGTGGTATTTTTAAAAGTCTAAGGCGGCCTAGATGGAGATTCTTCCAATCAACATAGTGAATTGCGCTTGTATTTGATTTTGTTTTCAAACTTCTATTTACTTTGCAAATTGAAAATTTGAAATTCTATTTTGAAGAACTTGTTGGTAGATATCAGACTGAGCTAATATTTGGCATACGTTTGCATAAATAAGTGTACGTGCTATTTGTAAGTGCACGTGCGTGTCATTCCAGTACATTAAGTTAGGATTGACGTATATATTATACTTGCATAATAAAAATATTTTTCCAATTAAGTGACTTAAAAAAGAACGTTCTCAATCAAATATTTGTAATCGATGGCGTTTACTTGTGTTGGTTCCACACTAATTTTTTGTATGTTTGTATAATTATGTCATTCTTCTTGAAGATTCAACAAATAAACAATAATCATAATGTATTTGACTAGGCTATCTGATTATATTTAATACATTAACTGGTTTAACCAGTAAAAGGCGACCAAGGATAATATATTAGTCCTCGCATAAAATTCGTGTGATTGCAAAATGCCTTTAGATATAGCGTGTAGACTAAAGTTTTATACCCCAAAAGTTTTTGCAAAACTGGATTTTCCAGTTCGGCTGTCGTCGTGGATCCAACCTAATCGTATTTGTTTTGTTTGGACGATCCTTTCAATATGCATTATTTATGTATTTTGAACAAAATTTAGAAATGTTTTTGTATGTACATTGACGCTTTTTATTCATGAAAAAGTAGAACCTATCATAAACCTATTTTAGCTATGGGACTATTTTGTCTCTTTCTTTTATGCTACATTCCCAAATAAAAAAAATGGCAAAACGGTTTAATAGCTAAAATAAATTTGTAGTATGTTTTGGTTTTTATTTATAAGGAGTACTTATATAGATTTTCAAAAGAAAAGGTTCACAATTGGATAATTATTTTGCTATTATGTTACACGATTATATCACCAATTTTAAACAGTTTTTCGCAAATTTTAAAGTAGTCAATGTAATGTCGTGTTGGTTTTACTTTATTTTAGTGACGATTGAAGCTATCGTTTTAATTTTAGTGAGTAAATTCCGATGCAACCAAAGTTAAGCCAATTTAGAAACTGTCGTTTCCTTATTTGCCTCAATTGTTAACTGAATCCAGCATAATGTTCGTACTATGCCGGTCACACTTAGAATTTAATTATAAATACTAAGTGTGACTAAAAACAATAATGTCCA